ATACAACAAACTAGTAACAGTTAATTTAATCTGTTTTAAACAAGACAAATACAACAAACTAATAACAGTTAATTTAATCTGTTTTAAACAAGACAAATACAACAAACTAATAACAGTTAATTTAATCTATCGTAAACAAAGCGTTTCTTTGTAGGAGTGAAGAAAGTATACCAGAGGGAATTCTGAATAACACTGAGTTAAGTGCTGTATAGGAATCGGGTAATCTCTCAAAGACTGGTCATGAGTTAAAATGGGGAGGACACTGAATATGGCTAAACCTCTATAAAGTTGGTGTCACTATAAAGATACATGATGTTAAATCATGTAGTTCTCCACAAATATTTTTAATGGGAGAGTTCAACAATGCCCAAAAGAATGGTGTATGAATGTGTAACTAGAACATTCTACAACTGTTCCTTTATATTAAACTTGGGTGTTCACCTGTCTAAACTAAAATATGTTGTGTTTTCACATACCACAATGGATCTCTTTCTTTCTTGTCCTTATAAAGTTTGTTGGAAATGGGATAATTTGATTAGTTTCTAATAAAGAAAGGTGTACAAATATTTGAAACTTCTGTTCTCTGCTTGTTGTGAGCATTTTGGGGTTATTAATTAAAGTACGGATAGGTGTGAATGAAAAACTTCCAAACCATTTGTTACGAAGTTGTAATATTTATACAAACCTTGATGGAATGACGTGTTTCATTATGGAATTAGTTAGGCTAATGAGAGCTTAATGCTTCAATGCTGCATTTCTTAGCTAATTAAATATTTCTAACATGAGCAAAAAAGGTATATTTCATATTACTTGTATAGTTGCAAATCAAACCACGCAGGTTTGACATAAGGATAGGTGTTAATATTTTGTGTAGAATATCATACTAATTGGTTGTATTGAACAAGTAAGAATTTAGTACAGGAAATATGTTTGCCCGTCTGATTTTGTTAAATGTTATTGGTCTGTAATAGGGAGAAACTTGGTGTGAAAGTCCGTAATTTACTCCAAGAATATTGTTACGACAGCGGGGGTCACGTGACTCGAGTAACACGTCATATTCTCGAACGTTAACGTCCATTCCTGAAGTCTCGAGAGGCTACTAGATATGCGGTAGTCTTGTATATATATAAGCCGCCAAGAAGTGAT